TGGCTCAGTGGTAGAGCGCTTGCCTTGCATGCCTGAGGCCCTGGGTTCGATTCCCAGCACCACATAAGCAAAAAGAAAAAAGCCGGAAGTGGTACTGTGGCTCAAGTGGAAGAGCGCTATCCTTGAGTTGAATTGCTGAGGGACAGCACCCAGGCCTAGAGTTCAGGCCCCATGACTGACAAAGAAAAAAAAAAAGATTGCATTTTAGCCTTGCACTGCTGGCTCACGCCTGCCACTAGCTACTCCAAAGGCTGAGATCTGAAGATTGGGGTTCAAAGCCAGTCTTGACTTGTGAGACTTTATCTCTAACCTCCAGAAAACAGGAAGTGGAGCTGTAGCTCAAAATGGTGGAATGCTAGCCTTGAACAAAAAGATTCAAGGGCAGCGCCCAGGCCCTTTGTTCAAGCCCTCCTGAAAAAAAGATTGCAGTTCAAGCTAGCCCAAACCAAAAAGTCTGTGAGACTTGTCTAGTTAACCAACAAAATGATTTGTATATTTTATTAAAGAAGATACTACATTTAATTTTATTGAAAACTAGAGAAATGGTAGTTCATATATTTAACAAATGTCGGGTGTTTTTGTTTTTGTTTTGTTTTTAGATTCGCCATGAAGTCAGTGTTAATAATGTAACACATAAACTGTGCAGTAACCATTGCTTTAATGAGTACCGATTGGCCAATGGTCTAGTAATGAACTGCTGTGAACAGTGTGGAGAATATTTGCCCAGTAAAAATATTGGAAACAGCATCCTGATTGGAGGTCAGCAGAAGAGGTTTTGCTGCCAAAGTTGTATTAATGAATATAAACAGGTAATTCTTTTTAATGTGATTTAATTGTCAAGTAAATAGTAGATTTATCCTGTTGGCATACATTAACTAGATTTATCATGAAACTTTAGTTCCATTTTGTCATTATGTCATTGAGTTGATTCAGGTAAATACTTCATTGTTGTATATTTGTTTCAAAGGTTTGCTTTTTGTTTAATTTTGCTTTTTTGTTAAAGACAAGAATGGTTTTCTCCTTTGTGCCATTTTTTGTTGTGTTCCTAATACCTTGATAGTTCTAGTTAATCCACATGCCAACCAAAATTTGATATTGTGGAAGTGTGGCTCAGAGTGGTAGTGCACTTGTCTGGCATGTGCAAAATACTAGGGGTCATAGCTTATTAACTGTCCAACATTCCTAGCAAACATAAGGTTCTGGGGGTTCAAACCCTAGTACTACCTACTCCCTGCTTCCCCCGTCCCCCCAAAAAAAACATTAGCAAGGTGCCAGTGGCTTATGTCTAACTACTCAAGAGGTAGTGATTGGAAAGATTGCCATTTGAGGCCAGCCTAGGCAAAAAAGTTCAAAAGACTCTATCTCATCTAGATCTAGTTTCATATTTTTTGCCTTTGTGCCTAGACTGTTACACTGTTTATGCCTGTGAGATGATAAGCATACATGACCATGCCCAACTTTTTTGTTCAGATGGGAACCTCTTTCCCAGTCTTCACCTTCAGAGAAGCTGTGAACCACTGTATGTGACCTAAATGATTTTGTGTGTGTGTGAGAGAGAGAGAAAGAGAGAGAATGTGAGTATATTGGTCCTATGGCTTGAACTCAGGGCTGAGCATTGTCCTCAAGATTTTTTGCTCAAGGCAACTCTATTCTACTTGAGGCACAGCTACACTTCTGGCTTTTTGCTAATTAATTGGATTTTTTGCTAATTAATTGGATTTTCCTGTCCTGGCTAGATTCAGACTATAATCCTGAGATCTCAGCCTCCTGAGTGGCTAGGATTCCAGGCATGAGCCACTGGCACCCAGCTAAATAACAACTTTATTAAGGTATCATTAATCTACAATGTGTTCACTTACCCCAATAGAATCCTCTTGTTTTGTCAATAGTCATGTCCATCTTTTTTTTTGGTGCTGGTCCTGGAGCTTGAACTCAGGGCATGGATGCTGTCCCTGAGCTTTTTTGCTCAAGGCTAGTACTTTATTACTTGAGCCACATCTCTACTTCTGGCCTTTCTGTTCATTGTAGATAAAAGAATCTCATCAACTTTCTTACTGGACTGTCTTCAAACCTTGGTCATCAACTCTCAACCTCCTGAGTAGCTAGGATTACAGGCATGAGCCACTGGTGTCCAGCTCATTTCTGTCCTTTCTTCTTCCAAAAGTCCTAGGCAGTTGCTAAGCAACTACCTTTTGTCACTATAAATTTGCCTGTTCTTGGGGCTGGGAAGGTGGCTCAGTGGTAGAGTGCTTGCCTTGCAT